CTTCTCCTTCTCCTTCTCCTTCTCCTTCTCCTTCTCCTTCTCCTTCTCCTTCTCCTTCTCCTTCTCCTTCTCCTCCTCCTCCCTTCTCCTTCTCCTTCTTCTTCTTTCCAATTGTATAATGGCAGCTAGTGTAACAGGTCTAAGTTTTATAAAATAAACTTTTTCGTTTGCCTTTACCCTGGAACTAGAAAAAGTTAAATTACAAAAATATATTTGTACAGTCACTAGTGGGTATTTAGCAATTTTTTGAGCAATATCTCTAGATACCACAGCAAGCAACTGGGAGGGTGTCCAGCCTTATGCAAGAAGCTCCAAGGAGAGTCTTTTAGGAAAGAATCCAGGTAATAGTCCTTGGTTAATAAAGTCATTATAGGTTTTTGGGGGTAGGGACACTCCTCTGGTCAATTAGAAAACCACACAAGATTAGTATATCCACTTTACTAAAGAGAGAAATATCAGTAAATAAATGAAACGTGGTCGATCCGCTGACTAAGGAAATGCCAAGTAAAACAAGAACGCATTTGCATTAACTAAGGGGCTGTTTGCTTTGTCAGCTCCAGTGTCCAGGCCTGGCAAGACCTCAAAGACCTGGTGCTCCACACACTGTGGGCGGGGTCCCCCTCAGCTGCGTGTTGGAGTAGCTGTGTATCTCCAGGGGGCTGCAGCTGCACGCCATTCTTAGCGCATCCTTTGCCATGAAAGTCTTCGGTTTTGTAGTTGTTATTGTTTGGGGACATGGTGTCGCTATGCAGCCCAGGCTGACCCCAAGCTCGGGATTCTCCTCCTTCATCCTCCCAGATGGTAAGATTACAGGCACATACCATGATGCCCCCCTTCTTACCCGTTTTCGTTCTCAATCATTCTGAGTGAGTACTTTTGGGAAGAAAAAAAAAAAAAGAACCAGGAAGTGATTTGAAACTGTGGTTATTTCATTTCTCAAAGAGCTTTAGAGTCAGTATTCTGCTTAAGGAAAAGCTTTTATGCTTTTCAACCCTATCTGTTCCATTTGTGCTTGTTCCTCCCCTTTTGAAAATTCCTCAGTCAACTGACATGCTTTCTCTTTCTTCTAGCTTTGCCAACCCCATGTTCGGTCCTCTGTTGACTTCCTTTCTTGTTGACATGATTTTGCCAAAGATAATATGACCTCTTTGAGAAAGCTAAAATCTCTACCCCCAAACTGGCCATCTCTGACCCAATCTTTCTATTTGATTCTGTTCTCTTGTGAGCTAGACACCGTTAGAAGAGCCACAGATATCCTTCTTGGGTTCAGTCACCAAGGTTGGCGTTGGGGCTCATTTTGGGTCGAATCTGTCCTCTCTCTTTTGAATCGAATTCCCGGATCTGCTTGATGTTGCAAGTGTCCCTTTTATGCCATGCCCATATCATTGGGTCAGCAGGGATTAAGGGTTATGGTTAATTAACAAATTAATTAACGTTACTCAAATTGTCCTGCGCCACCAGCAGCTGCCTGAGTTCCTCACCACCTGCCAAAGAGCTCTGGATTCTTGAATGAAAGACACACACAAACACACACACACACACACACACACACACACACACACACAGAGCCTTATTTTTTTTAAATATGCCCTAAGCAGCTCTCAACGGCTGGGCCACTCCCAAACTACCACATTGCTAACGCCTCCCCTCTGATACTTTTGAATTATTATTTACTAAAATATAAAATCCATCTTTGCTACCCTAGACCCAAAATGGGCCACTCTTTGGGCTACTCTTCCCTGGTTCTTCTTACACGGCTGTATATGCCCACTTCTCCAGCTCTGAAGTCTGATTTTCCTGCTTCCCTGTCGTGGTGATTCTATTTATTTATTTTTTTTAAAACTTTCTACTTTTTTTTTTCTTTAATTTTTATTTTTTTATTTATTATATGTAAGTACACTGTAGCTGTCTTCAGACACCCCACAAGAGGGCATCAGATATCATTACAGATGGTTGTTAGCCACCATGTGGTTGCTGGGATTTGAACTCATGACCTCTGGAAGAGCAGTCAGTGCTCTTAACCACTGAGCCATCTCACCAGCCCCTCTATTTTTTTTTTTTTTTTTGTTTTTTCGAGACAGGGTTTCTCTGTGTAGCCTTGGCTGTCCTGGAACTCACTCTGTAGACCAGGCTGGCCTCCAACTCAGCGATCCACCTGCCTCTGCCTCCCAAGTGCTGGGATTAAAGGCGTGTGACACCACTGCTCGGCTGTCGTGGTGATTCTAAATCCTCTCTTGCCTGGGAAAGCTAAAGTTCTCTTGCCCAGGAAATCTAAAATTCTGCCTCTGTCTCCCTGCCCAGCCACTGGCTGATGGTAACTTTATTTACCAATTAGAACCAGTTGGGGGCAGACACCTTCAGCATCTCACGTGCAGATGTGTGAATTCCTGTGTAATTTGGGAACCCAATAAACATAAGCAGTAAACAAAATCCACAGCACTTCACCTTTCCATCCATCAAAAAGGCCTTTTCTCTCAGATATACAATGAACATGATTATAACTGTATATAACTATAAGGTATGATATACACTAATAATGTCTAGTCCATCAATTTTGTCAGTTTAGGTACATTGCTTTGACATCTATCCTAACTTCAAGAGTTTACAACTCTATAACTGAATTACATTCTGATTTTAACTTGCATTACCATCTGGAAACCATCATCTCAAATCTACATCATACTCTTCAATGCTAAACAACTTAAGTTTGCTGAGACTATGGCTAGACTGTGGAGAGCTTTTGGTACCGCTTATAGAGTACTTGTCACTGGGCTCAAGGAAGTAGGCTCAGATAAGAGCATTTACATTTGGGCTAATGCAAGAATCAAAGTGAACACAGCCAAGGAATGTGTGACTTCCCTTTTGTTTTAGTAATCCTGATAAGTCCCCAGACCCAGTGACTCAGAGGACTTTGTTTATTGCTTTGTTTGATTGCTACCTGGTGTGATCTCTTTGTTCTTTGCCTTATTCAATACTTTGTCTTTGATCTAAGAACTGACCCTATTCTTTGCAAGTACCTAGAGTGGTATAAAACCTGGCTGGGAAAAAACGAAAGCTGCTTCTGCTTCAGCACCGGCTGGAGTCATGTTACAATGTTTGTCTAGTGGTCTTTTTCTTTTCAATCCTCACTCCCACCCTTGAGACCCTGTTGACTGACTGAACTGGCTTGGTTACTAGTCTCCAACACCGTCTGAGATCTGAGAACAAATTATTACCTGAATATATCAGAAGCACAAAAACATAGCTTCCAAAATTAACCATTTTGCAGAGTCAGCTGACTATCTTGACAGCTATTCCTTAGAATGATAGAGCATCTGTCTTCAGCCTTCTGGCCCAGAACCATCAGGCAGACCTTAAGTGAAGCAGGAATTATGAAGGACTAGCTTACTCTGTCTTGGCAGAGCTAAGCTGTTGACTATCCCACATTGTGTATCCTTTCCTGGACAGTATTTTTGTCTGTAGATGAATTAGGGAAATTCTTGCCCAGTGGCTACCTTGCCACAACTGGAACAAATCCATATGGAAATTATGATGCCCAATACCATCTTTGAACTGTGAAATGGGTACTGTCAGGAGCAGACATGTCTCCCAGTCAAAAATCTAATAATAACAAAATGATTATAAATGCTGTACTCTGTGGATTTCTGATGTTGTTGATACTTTGTACAACATATTTATCCAGGAAATAGACTGAACAATGACAGTAATAAAATCATAATATGTTCAACTCTGAAAAACGTTGAAGATTCCTTTCATCTGCAGTATAACCAAGATTCAATCTTTATGTGAAAATAAGCTCATTAGTATTCAAATCTAATAACTGTTATAAGTTTATCACTTACAATCAATGTATGTTTGTGTGGTGGTTTGAAAAGGGTCTCTATAGGCTCACTGGGAGTGGCACTGTTAGGATGTGTGGTCTTGTTGGAGAAAGTGTGTCACTGGAGTGGTGGGCTTTGAGGTTTCAGATGTTCAAGTCAGGCCTAGTTTGTTGCCTGCAAATCCAGATGTAGAATTCTCAGCTCCTCCTTCAGCACCATGTCTGCCTGTGTGCCACCATGCTTCCTGCTATGACGACAATGAACTAAACCTCAGAACTGTAAGCCAGTCCCAATTAAATGTTTTCTTTCATAAGAGAGGTTGTGGTCATGGTGTCTCATCACAACAATGAAACCATAACTAAAGCAGTTTGGTTGTATAGTTAGGGTGTTATAAAAATTTCTCTGATGAAAGGGGCTCTGAGTGGGGACTGTTAGACGTCCGTGTGCAGCTTAGGACAGACCACACCAGACCAAATGGTTTCAAGGGGGCGTTTATTCAGGGCAAAGGTTGGGTCGGGGGAGAAGTAGAGGAAGAAGATGGAAGAAGAGGGAGGGAGAGAGAAGTGGAGGAGTAGAGGCCGGCTGTGATCACGTGGAGAGAGGGGGAAAGGGAAGGGTGGAGGGGCGAGGGGACAGAGAGAAGCTAGAGGCAAGAGATCAAGAGAGTGAGAGAGTGAGAGCGAGAGCGAGAGCGAGAGCGAGAGCGAGAGCGAGAGAGAGAGAGAGAGAGAGAGAGAGAGAGAGAGAGAGAGAGCGAGAGAGAGCGAGAGCGAGCGAGAGAGAGAGAGAGAGAGAGAGAGAGAGAGAGAGAGAGAGAGAGAGAGGAGGGGCCAGGCAACCCGTTTTATAGTGGGCCAGGCAGGCCTACCTGGCTGTTGCCAGGTAACTGTGGAGGTGGAGTTTAGACAGAATACTAACAGGGACCAAGGCTCGGCACCTGGGCAAGCCTTTGGAGACAGACAGCTTCCATGTGGCTTTGGATCAGTAATATAAAA